CTGTCACCATGCCTGGCTAATTTTTTTTTTTGTATTTTTAGTAGAGATGGGGTTTTACTATGTTGGCCAGGCTGGTCTCAAACTCCTGGCCTCTCAATCCGCCCGCATCAGCCTCCCAAAGTGCTGGGATTATAGGCATGAGCCACCATGCCTGGCTTCTTTGCCTGTTTTATTAATGGAATGAGGGGGTTGGTTTTTATCAGTGTAAAATGTCTCTTTTTATGTGAAATGCTTTTGGCCTTGAGTGGTGCTTTTTCTGACATTCCCATGGCTACTATTGTTTTCTGTGATTCTTTAATTTTTAGTCTTTTGTGTCACCCTGTTTCAGGTATATCTCTCATACCTCTCATAAAAACCTCATAGCAGAATTTGTGCTTTTTAAGACAACTGACATTGAAATTTTTTTTTTTTTGACACATAGTCTTGTTCTGTCACCCAGGCTGGAGTGTGGTAGTGCGATCTTGGCTCACTGCAGCCTCTGCCTCCCAGGTTCAAGCAGTTCTCCTGCCTCAGCCTCCCAAGTAGCTGGGATTACAGGCACATACCACCATGCACATCTAATTTTTGTATTTTTAGTAGAGACAAGGTTTTAGCATGTTGGCCAGGCTGGTCTTGAACTTCCAACCTTAGGTGATCCACCAGCCTTGGCCTCCCAAAGTGCTGGGATTATAGGCATGAGCCACTGCACCTCACCCCAACAATGAAATCTTTGACCACTTTTTTTCCTTTAATCTTTCCCACCCTTTCTGGCCTTTAAAATGGAGCTTTGGAACACTTCTAATTCTTAATCATTTTCTGGTCCCTAACCCTTAACTTCTAGGTTTTGCTTAGACAGCTTTAATTTTTTTTCTTTTTTCTTTTTTCTTTTTGAGATAGAGTCTTGCTCTGTTGCCCAAGCTGGAGTGCAGTGGCATGATCTTGGCTCACCACAACCTCCTCCTCCCAGGTTCAAACAATTCTCCTGCCTCAGCCTCCAGAGTTGCTGGGATAACAGAAGCATGCCACCACACCCAGCTAAATTTTTTATATTTTTAGAGACAGGGTTTCACCATGTTGGCCAGGCTGGTCTCGAACTTCTGACTTCAAGTGATCCACCTCCCTCAGCCTTCCAAAGGGCTGAGAGTATAGGTGTGAGCCACTGTGCCCAGCAATTTTTTTTTTTAATTCCAGGTTATCATTCTATTTTCTTACTAACCCACTAAGTAACTTATGTTTCGGGAATCCTAATGTAACATATATTACAAACCCCCAATCATGTTATCTTTGTCATTTTAACGATAAATATTAAAAAACCAGGGCCCTCCACCATTTACCTGCCTCTTTGTCTCTCCCTATCTTGAGCCCTTCTAGTCATACAGGAGTTATTTGCTCAGACAACTTCTTTCTTCTCCTCCAAAAGGGTGCATGGGTTAGATGTACTCTAATGGTCAAAAATGTTTTTCTTTGGCTGAATAGATCTGTACTGTCTTGGCTGGGGGCAGGGCCCTTGAATCCCAGGTCTTTCTTCTTAGTGTTCCACAGGTGCTGTGAGCCACTGTCTTACTGCTTCCAGGGTTATGGAGCAGAAGTCTGTTGCTTGTCTGACCTTTCCAATGTAAGCAGCCATTCTTTGTCTCTGAAAGCTGCAAGAGTTTTTCTTTTTCTTTACTTTTCTTTCTTTCTTTTTTTTTTTTAGGCAGGTGTCTGTTGCCCAGGCTGGAGTATAGTAGCATGATCTCGGTTCACTGCAACCCCTGCCTCCCAGGTTCAAACGGTCCTCCCACCCACCTCGGCCTCCTGAGTTGCTGAGACTACAGGTGTATGTCACCATGCCTGGCTAATTTTTATATTTTTGGGTACAGACAGGGTTTTACCATGTTGCCCAGGCTGGTTTTGAACTCCTGGGCTCAAGTAATCCACCTGCCTCGGCCTCCTAAAGCGCTGGGATTAAGCTGGGCATGGTGGCTTATGCCTGTAATCCCAGCACTTTGGGAGGCTGAGGTGGGCAGATCACTTGAGCTCAGCAGTTCAAGACCAGCCTGGCCAACATGGTGAAACCCCATCTCTACTAAAAATACAAAAATTAGCCAGGTGTGGTGGTACACACCTGTAGTCCTAGCTACTCAGGAGGCTGAGGCAGGAGAATCAGTTGAACCCGGGAAGCAGAGGTTCCAGTGAGCTGAGATTGCACCACTGCACTGCAGCCTGGGTGACAGAGCAGGACTCCACCTCAAAAAAACAAAAATTCCTGGGATTACAGGCATGAGCTGTTGTACCCAGGCTAAGAGTTTTTCTTTATTCTTAGAATTTGGACATTTTGGGCTGGACGCGATTGTTCACTCCTGTAATCCCAGCACTTTGGGAGGCCAAGGTAGGCAGATCACTTGAGCTCAGGAGTTCAAGACAGGCCTGGCCAATGTGGTGAAACCCTGTCTCTGCTAAAAATACAAAAATTAGCCAGGCATGGTGGCGCGCCTCTATAATCCCAGCTACTCGGGAGGCTGAAGCAGGAGAATGGCTTGAACCCAGGAGGTGGAGGTTGCAGTGAGCTGAGATCATGCTCTTGCACTCCAGCCAGGTGACAGAGCAAGACCATCTCAAAAAAAAAAAAAAAGAATTTGAGCTTTTCACCAATGTATGAATGGGGTGGGGGGGAGCTATTGTGTGTTGCTTGTTAGTTAATCCTATCTAAGACTTGGCGAGCCATTCCTTCATCTCAGAGAAATTTTCCTTCATACTTGTTCAGTTGTAACGTCTCCACCTGATCCTTTTTCTCCCCCTGCATTTCCTATTATTTCTATACTAGGTCTCCTGGACTTGGCATCCAAGTCTCTCTTCTTTTTCACTCAAATCATCAAGGCTTAGCTCCATGCCTTGCAGTGGTTCTTCTGTTTGAACTTTTAGACCATTACTGATTTTTCGTAATGTGACCTTCATTTTACCTGTTGAGTGTTTTAATGCTCTGATTAATGTTTTAGAAAGACCATTCTGGCAGCTGTTGGGAGAGATTGGAGAGGAACACAGAGGAAGTAGGGACTGATTAGGAGGCAGTTTCAGGTGAGAGATATGGTGGCTCAGACAGGGTGAGAAGATGGAGATGAGAGAACAGGTAGGATGGAAAAGTGCTTTACATGCAGAGGCCATAGGACTTGGCAGTGGTTTGGACCTGGGAGTTAAGAGTGGGAGGGGGTGGCCGGGCGTGATGGCTCATGCCTGTAATCCAAGCACTTTGGAGGCCGAGGTGGGTGGATCACCTGAGGTTGGGAGTTCAAGACCAGCCTGACCAACGTGGTGAAACCCCGTCTTGGTTAAAAAAAAAGAGAGAGAGTGGGAGGGGGGCAAAGATGTCTCTCAGGTTTCTGGTCTATTAAACAACTGAACAGGTGGAGATGCTGTTTGTTGAGACAAGGAGCAGAGGAGGAGGCTATGTCTAGAGTGGATCTTGGGCTCCTCTCTTTGGACCCCTTAGGTTTGCAGTGCCCCATGAGGCATCCAGGGAAAAGCAGTGACATCCAGACATGGCCTACGGTTTGTTTCCCTGCCCAGCTCTGTGGGAGAATTGGGCTCCATGGGAATGCTGCTTAAGGATGGTATTTGCTTGAAAATGACAGTGGCTTAAACAAATAGAAGTTGCTTGGTTTCACAGAATGGAGTTTGAAAGTTAGCCCCTTGGTCCGGGCGCAGTGGCTCGTGCCTGTAATCCTAGCACTTTGGGAGGCCGAGGTGGGTGGATAACCTGAGGTCAGGAGTTCGAGATCAGCCTGGTCAACATGGTGAAACCCCATCTCTACTAAAAATACAAAAAAATTAGCCAGGCATGGTGGCAGGCACCTGTAATCTCAGCTACTCAGGTGGCTGAGGCAGGAGAATTGCTTGAACCCAGGACACAGACGTTACAGTGAGCCGAGATTGTGCCACTGCACTCCAGCCTGGGCTACAGAGAGAGACTCTGTCGCAAAAAAAAAAAAAAAAGAAAAGAAAACACGGCATACCTGTTCCACTGTTGCACAAATATTTTATTTCTATTCTAAAGTACGTCTGGGCTGTGGATTAGGGTGAATGAGGTTCAGATCCCAGCCCTACAATTTCCTGGCCGTAGAATCTTTGTCACTTACTATTTGCTCCAAACCTTTTTGTCATCGTCTGTAAAATGAGAATGGTAACATTAGTGTACACTGTTTGTGGGAGGAGGACTGGCAAGAATATGAGAATAGGAGTTGGAGCTCTTGAGCTTTGGGCTTGGCCTTCAAATTTCCACTCTTTCACTCACTAGCTAAGGGGACTTGGCCAAATGCCTTATCCCGACTGTGTCTGTTTCCTCATAGAGAGTCACAGTAATAGTAGTGCTCCACCAATAGGATTGTAGTGACTATTGCATGAGTCACTATTTCCAAAGAATTCGGAACAGTTCCTGACACATAGCACTATGGAGTGTTAGCTAGTATTATTTCTTATATTATTGTTGAGCGCTTGTCCTAGTGCTTGGCACATCGTAACTGCTCAATAAATATTACTTTATATCATTAAAATATTAGAGGCTGCCCAGTCATTTCCTGAGATACCTACTACAAACGAATTGTTTGTTTGTTTTTTAGATGGAGTCTAGCTTTGTTGCCCAGGCTAGAGTGCAGTGGTGTAATCTCAGCTCACTGCAACCTCTGCCTCCCAGGTTCAAGTGATTCTCCTGCCTCTACATCCCTAGTAGCTGGGATTATAGGCGTGTGCCATCACACCCAGCTAATTTTTGTATTTTTAGTAGAGACAGGGTTTCACTGTGTTGGTCAGTCTGGTCTCGAACTCCTGACCTCAGGTGATCTGCCCGCCTCAGCCTCCCAAAGTGCTGGGATTACAGGTGTGAGCCACCACACCTGGCCTTGATTTTGTTTTTTACATGATTTGGATGATACAGGAAGAGGGACTGGGAGTCATTGGTGGCCTGGCTTCAGTAGAAGGAGAGGAAGCCAGCCCTGAGGTCTGGGTTCTCATCCCCATTCTCATAGCACTTTGTTCTGTCTGCCCAGGCCCATTGCTGGAAGACTGGGACATAATCAGTCCCAAAGATGTCATTGGCTCCGACGTGTTGCTGGCTGAGAAACGATCATCACTGACAACTGCTGCCCTGCCCTTTACACAGTCCATCCTCACTCAGGTGTTTTCAGGGACCCTGGGGATCCAGCTGTGGTTGGAGGGCAGGGCCTACCTAGCACCCTGGTTCTGAGCATGCCGGTTGGAATCTGCCCCTAGTCCACACAGCTGATGGTAGCCTCCCTCCCTCCTTCTCATAGGTGGGCCGTACCTTGTCTAAGGTCCAACAAGTACTGAGCTGGTCGTATGGGGAAGATGTCAAGCCCTTCAAGCCACCCTTAAGCGATGCTGAGTTTCACACATACCTGAACCACGAGGGCCAGCTCTCCCGACCTGAAGAGTTGCGCCTGCGGATCTATCATGGTGGCGTGGAGCCCTCACTGCGAAAGGTGAGCATCCTCAGTCGTCTGTTGAGTCCATCACTGCTGTACTCATTAACAGCTCCTGAGACACATGCAGTCAGCCACACTGCTGTGGGTGGGGGTAGAGATGTTCCAAGGTAGGAAGCTCTCTTTCAGGAGGGGCAAGCAGTCAGAGGCCTAGCAGACTTATCAGAAGGAAGACAGAGGCCCAAGGCGGGTGGGTGGGTGGTGACTGACAGACACTGGGGCTTGGCTCATCTGGAGAACTCCAGCCTTACTCCTTTCACCCCTGGCCAGGTGGTGTGGCGGTACCTGTTAAACGTGTATCCAGATGGACTGACAGGCCGAGAGCGGATGGACTACATGAAACGCAAGAGCCGCGAGTATGAGCAGCTCAAGAGCGAGTGGGCCCAGCGAGCAAGCCCTGAGGACCTGGAGTTCATCCGCAGCACGGTCCTCAAGGATGTGCTGCGCACTGACCGGGCCCACCCCTACTATGCAGGGCCTGAGGATGGCCCACATCTACGGGCGCTGCACGACCTGCTCACCACCTATGCCGTTACCCACCCACAGGTGTCCTACTGCCAGGGCATGAGTGACCTTGCCTCACCCATCCTCGCTGTCATGGACCACGAGGGCCATGCCTTCGTCTGCTTTTGTGGCATCATGAAGCGTCTGGCCGCCAACTTCCACCCTGATGGCCGCGCCATGGCTACCAAGTTTGCACACCTGAAGTTGTTGCTGCGACACGCCGACCCTGACTTTTACCAATACCTACAAGAGGCAGGCGCTGATGACCTCTTCTTCTGTTACCGCTGGCTGCTGCTGGAGCTCAAGCGTGAGTTCGCCTTTGACGACGCCCTCCGCATGCTTGAGGTCACCTGGAGTTCGCTGCCCCCTGATCCTCCTGAACATGAGGTAGAGCTGGTTGGACCCCCCAGCCAAGCAGACACTGGTTTTGGTGGCCACAGGGGGTGGCCTGTGCGACAGAGGCACATGCTGAGGCCTGCCAGTGGAGGAGGTAGTACCTTTGAAGATGCTGTTGACCACCTGGCCACAGCCAGCCAGGGGCCTGGTGGTGGGGGGCGTCTCCTGAGACAAGCCAGCTTGGATGGTCTCCAGCAACTCAGGGATAACATGGGCTCCAGAAGGGGCCCTCTGGTCCAGCTGCCCCATCCAGCTGCCCTTATCAGCTCCAAGTCCCTCTCCGAGCCTTTATTGAACTCCCCAGATCCACTGCTCTCCTCCTTTTCCCACCCTGATTCCCCGTCTTCCTCATCTCCACCATCTACCCAGGAGGCCTCTCCCACTGGTGATATGGCTGTAGGATCCCCCATGATGCAAGAGGTAGGCTCCCCGAAAGACCCAGGAAAGTCCCTGCCACCCGTACCACCAATGGGCCTGCCCCCGCCCCAGGAGTTTGGCAGGGGAAACCCATTCATGCTGTTCCTCTGCCTGGCCATCCTGCTGGAACACCGCGACCACATCATGCGCAATGGGCTGGATTATAACGAGCTGGCCATGCACTTTGACCGCCTTGTGCGAAAACACCACCTAGGGCGCGTCCTGCGCCGGGCCAGGGCTCTCTTTGCTGATTATCTACAGTCAGAGGTGTGGGACTCGGAGGAGGGGGCTGAGGCCACAGCTACATCTTGATCAGGCTTTCTCTGGCCCTCCATTGGCACCACCAGATCTCCATTCTTTGCCATGAGGGCCAACACATGAGACCCCACCTCCCTGCCTGCCAGCCCTAGACCTGTTGGAGCATAGAGCCCTTCCTCCCCAGGTCTAAGTATGTGGGGCTCTGCTTTGGCACTGCCCCACGGAGGCCATGGCCTCTTTATTCTGTTTCTGTTGTTTTGTTTTTAACAACTATACTTTGCACACATAAAGGTCACTGTGTGGTCTGTGTGTTTCTCTGTCCCCTCCCTGGGTTTTGCTGTAGATGGAGCAAAGGGCCCCTCAGGGGCCCTTTACCTGATGGAGAGGAAATACTTCACTTGGTGGAGGGAGGCTCCAGCTTCCCCGCTGTGGTGGGGAGAGTGGATGCTGAGAATCGGTTCCCAAAGGTGAGCTCAAGTCAGGCACTGCTTGAGGAAGGCCTGAGTCTGTTTTTTGGTACATCCATCTGCCTGTAAGGGTCTGTATTATGTCTGTGAATATGTTTTCAGGACAGCCCCCTGGATGAAAGATAAGAGTTCTTGGCTCAAACAAGGGCAAGATTCATTACTGAGATTGGGAAGTATGGGCTACTTAGAAACACTAGACCAGCCACCCCTGCCATTCCACACGTCACCATTTCTAGGATCTTGACCTCTCTATGAGGTTTATGCACCAATGCTGGCAGCCCTGGGCAGGGGCCTTGGCCTCCTTTTTGTTTTCCACTTCAGACAGGTAACTGCAGATGTTAACAAGGTTTGAGGGAGGCATGTCTCACACGTGAGTGTGGAAGCCCAGTCATCACATTGTTGAATTACAAAAGGATCTAAGGCTCCTATTCTTGTCACTTGCTTTGGAGCCAGTTTGAAGGACTGTGGCCTAGCCATGCCTAGGGCCCTAAACTGGGATTCACCTCATGGTACCTGTCTTAACTATTTCAGCAATAGAAACCACTTATTTACCTTCTCCATCTCACTAATATGGACAAGCATCAAGCACTGATAAAGCTCAGGCCTTAATAGAAGTCACTTAGTTATTTGGAGGATAATGATCAAAAAAAAGGTCCTTTTTCCCACTGACATTCTCAGAGGATGGGACTCTCTCACAGGCCATGTGCGGTCATCTACAAAGGATGGGTGAGATAACTGGGGTCCTCCGGTCATGGTCTAGCCATGCCAGCTTCTCCCAAGTACCAACCAGGCTTGACCCTGCTTAGCTTCAGAGATCAGACAAGATCCAGCATATTCAGGACGGTATGGCTGTAGACCAGGCTGGGTTCTGGCCAGAAGCTGTTGCACCAGGCAATGCTGCCAAAGATGAGGAGGCATCAGGGCAGTCATCCCCTCTGCTGTTTGCCCCAAGAATGCCATAGAAAGCTGAGGATGACCCTTAAAAGGCTCCTGTCACCCCCAGTGTTGGGGGGAAGTTGACTATTCCTCAGATGAAAGCCCAGTCATTTGAAGAGCAAGACGTGACTATTCTGTGTCTAGGGAGCTCAAGCATTGGGGGTCTAATGAGTGCATTTTGTGGATATGGGCTCAGACTCCCCAAAGGACCACCCAACCTACGGGAGTGTCTGGCTTTCCAAGGTCATGAAATGTCTCTTGTCAGTAAACAGCTGATACCCTCTGGGATGCATTCTGTGATTAATGGAATCACAGAATGCATTCCAGACAAGCCAATTCTGTGGGCAGTAGTTTGGGACTTCTCAGGGACTGAAGAGTCCTTTCTGTGATTAGGAGGCTCAGATACCCTGAAGGGCAGAAACCTCTAATATTCCTCTAGGACACTTAGGGTTTATGATTTCTGCAAAGATGGCAGACAGCAAAGCTACTAATTCCTTTGCACGAAACCAACTCTGGAGAAACTAGAGAGGGAAACATGGGTTCCAGAATAGCAATGAGAGCCCCACGGGGAAATGGAAGGCTGTCTTTAACTGGTGTGTGTTTTGAGTGGTGGGGATGGCCAGAGGCAGCAAATAGAGCATAGGATAGGTTAGGGAAAAAGAGATTTAAGTTCTGGCTCTCACCTCTTCCCTATATTGCCTTGGGGAGGTCTTTGCCCCTTTCACTGCAGAAATCATCCATACCACTGGCACACATGTCTAGGGTGCTAGGATCAGGGCAGTAGGGCCCTGCAGGGGAAAGAAAGAAGCAGCCAGAGGAAATCAGTCCTCCACCTCTCCCTCTTCAGACACCTGGGCTGGTGGATTACACTTAAGGAGACTGCCACCTGTTTTTTTTTGGTTTTGTTTTGTTTTGTTTTTTGAGATAGAGTCTCACTCTGTAGCCCAAGCTGGAGTGCAGTGGCACAATCTTGGCTCACTGCAACCTCTGCCTCCCGGGTTCAAGTGATTCTCCTGTCTCAGCCTCCCAAGTACCTGGGATTACAGGTGCATGCCACCATGCCTGGCTAATTTTTGTATATTAGTAGAGACGGGGTTTCACCATGTTGGTCAGGCTAGTCTCGAACTCCTAACCTCAGGCGATCCATCTGCCTCGGCCTCCCATAGTGGTGGGATTACAGGCGTGAGCCACCACACCAGGCCAAGACTGCCACTTCTTAAAGCAGTTTTCCTCCGATGATTTAAAGATGAACCCCCTACTAGGGGAATTGTCAGGTGTCCAAAGAGCAAGTGAGTGGGATAACTGTGCTTCTGTGGTATCTGCAGCTGTCCACCCTCTGGTTCTTCTCTCACGCATCCTTTTACCCCGGAGCTCCAGGTCATTGAGCTGACTCAAATTGGGCCTTCAGCCTTTCCTCAGTATGTTCTATCAGCCAGGAGGGAAGATAACTTCAGGGGACATGTAAGTTCACCACCAAAATAACCAAACACCAGGGCAGTATGACTTCCACCAAGGAAAAATAAACTGGACATTCTCTAGTGCTGGATAACAAATTACCCCAAACTTAGCCACTTAAAATATAACAGGGCTGAGCACAGTGGCTCACACCTGTAATCCCAGCACTTTGAGAGGCCGAGGCAGGCAGATGATGAGGTCAGGAGTTCAAGACCAGCCTGGCTAACATAGTGAAACCCCGTCTCTACTAAAAATACAAAAATTAGCCAGGCATGGTGGCACGTGCCTGTAGTCCCAGGTACTCGGGAGGCTGAGGCAGGAGAATTGCTTGAATCCAGAACGCAGAGGTTGTGGTGAGCTGAGATCACGCCACTGCACTTCAGCCTGGGCAACAGAGTGAGACTGTCTCAAAAAAAAATCAGTTTCTAGGCCAGGTGCAGTGACTCACACCTGTAATCCCAGCACTTTGAGAGGCTGAGGCGGGCAGATCACCTGAAGTCAGGAGTTCAAGACCAGCTTGACCAACATGGTGAAACCCATCTTTACTAAAAATACAAAAAAATTAGCCAGGTATGGTACCACATGCCTGTGATTCCAGCTACTTGGGAGGCTGAGGCAGGAGAATCACTTGAACCTTGGGGGCAGAGGTGGCAGTGAGCCAAAATTGTGACACTGCACTCTAGTCTGGGGGACAGAGACTCTCTCAAAAAAAAAGAAAAAACGCTACAGTTTCTGAGGGTCAGGAATCTGGAAGCAGCTTAGCTGGGTGGTTTTGACTCAGGGTCTCTCCTGGCGTTTTACTCAAGTTGGCAGCCAGGACTGCAGTCAGCTGAAGGCTTCACTTAGCTGACAGACCCTCTTCCAACATGGCCCACTCACAGGGCTGTTGGCAAGAGGCTTCAGTTTCTCACCACCTGAGCATCTCTGTGGGGCTCCTCATAACATGTCATCCTAATGAGCAGGTGAGACCATGACCAAGACAAAAGCCATAATGTCTATCAAAACCTCAGAAAAGACATACCATCGCTTCTGCTGTATTTTGTTGGTCACATAGACCAACCCTAGTATAACATGGGAGGGGACTATACAGGGCGTGAATACCAGGAGGCAGGAATCATGACTATATTGGAAACTGGTTCCTATACTGGGTAACATATAATATCTGAAGCAGAAGTATTGAGGCAGATGAAACATTTTAAATAAGCATAATAAAAACTATTAGAATATAAAACAGGAACTAGAGATTATAAAAAGGACCCCCAAAAATATTAGGTGTGAGTATGATGGTAGAAAAAAAACAAAGCAGCCCAGTGCGGTGGCTCATGCCTGTAATCCCAGCCCTTTGGGAGGCTGAGGCAGGAGTATCACTTGAGCTCAAGAGTTTGAGACCAGCCTGGGCAACGTGGCAAAACCCTGTCTCTACATAAAATACAAAACATTGGCCGAATGTGGTGATGTACCCCTATGGCCCTGGCTAATTGGGAGGCTGAGGTGGGAGGATCACTTAAGTCCAGGAGGTTGAAGCTGCAGTGAGCTGAGACTGTACTATTGCACTCCAGCCTGAGTGACAAGAGCAAGACCCTGTCTCAAAAAAAAAAAAAAATACTGTAAATGGAGAATATGGAATGAGATGTCCCAATAGTAATTGCAAAAATATTTGAAACACAGAGACCCTCATTGGATTAAAAAAAAGTCCAACAGAGGGCCGGGCGCGGTGGCTCAAGCCTGTAATCCCAGCACTTTGGGAGGCCGAGGTGGGTGGATCACGAGGTCAAGAGATCGAGACCATCCTGGTCAACAAGGTGAAACCCCGTCTCTACTAAAAAAAATATAAAAACTTAGCTGGGCATGGTGGCACATGCCTGTAGTCCCAGCTACTCGGGAGGCTGAGGCAGGAGAATTGCTTGAACCCAGAAGGTGGAGGTTGCGGTGAGCCGAGATCGCGCCATTGCACTCTAGTCTGGGTAACAACAGCGAAACTCTGTCTCAAAAGAAAAAAAAGTCCAACAGGATACAAACACAAAGATTTAGAAATGTTGAAAATGAAAGGATGAAGAAAGGATATAGCACACTAAAAGCCCAAAGAAAGCTGAGATGGCTATCCTAATAGCTAAGAAAATAGGCTGAGTGCAGTGGCTCTTGCCTGTAATCCCAGCACTTTAGGAGGCCGAGGCGGACGGATCACTTGAGGCCAGGAGTTCAAGACTAGCCTGGCCAACATGGTGCAACCCTGTCTCTACTAAAAATACAAAAATTAGCCTAGCATGGTGGCATGTGCCTATAGTCCCAGCTACTCAGAAGGCTGAGGTAGGAGAATCGTCTGAACCTGGGAGGCAGAAGTTGCAGTAAGCTGAGATTGCGCCACTGCACTCCAGCCTGGGTGACAGATGGAGACTCAAAAAGAAAAAGTTGGCAAAAGAGCAGAGGAACAAACCCAAAGGACTGAG